ACCCTGTAATTAAATACACATCCCTGAGCTGTGGCCCTAGAAACCCTTGCCTCAAGGCTAACCAGATTCCATCACCTGATAGAATGATTGATTGCTGTTTCTCATCCAGATACACAGATGAAATATCATTTCATGGACATTGGACATAGATGCTTCAAGCCAAGGAAAAAGAAAGGATAATCAACTGCAAAGGCAGAGAGGAGTGTGAGGAAATTCTCCATGGATCAAAGAAGATAAAGAAAGAGTAGCATTTTTTACCTTAAAAAATAAAGAAAAATTCAAAGTTTAATAAAGGGGCTAGTCTGAAAGACTGTATTTCTTAAAAGAACTGTAAAAAATTTAAAAGCAAGAGGGGAAAAGACATAGACCAGGGGTCCAGAGCTAAAGACTTGGAACCACTATTTAGCTTCCTACCCTGCTGTGAGGCCCCTTTGCTTTGGCCTATCTTGGACACGGCTTAGTTGTCCAAGGTTTGTCTGAGTTTATGTGTCTTCATGTATCCCATTTCTCAGGAAATCAAGAACAAACAAATGTAGGAAATAGTAGAGCAAGGTAGAGAGCCCCAGGTTTTAAGGACTTATGGCACTGACCATGGCAGATACCCGTTTCCCTGAAAATGGATGGCAACTGAGAAGTAGGTTGATGTAGAATGGGTGACTTTCAGGGATGTCACAGAGACTCTTAGGTTCCTCCTATCCTGTTCTGGTTCTGAGAAACAGGACGGGGAGATTTCTGCCTCTTCCTTCCGTCCTTGGAGGCTTGCCCACCTCACTGTGGGTTATGCATCGGGGTTAGATGGAGTGCTTTGAGACAGGTTCTGGGAAATTTCTCCCAACTGAGGAAGGGTTAGACCACTTAACTTAGCAAAGGACCCTAACAGGTTGAGATTAAGCAAGATTCCTCAGATTTCATTGAATACATTCGATCTTGGCTAGAGTGTAATAAAATGGAAACAGGATACTCTGATACAAAACCTTTCACTCTAGCACGCTGTATACACCTATATTCCAAGTCCACTATCCTCCTAATGCTTCCAGCTCAATTATTTTCCACCTCAGGCCTGCCACAAAGGAGCACGAAGATCTTCTCTTTAATCCAGTCTTTGTTATACAGCTGGTATGTCTGGGTATCAGCTCGGTAAACAAGGCTGCCGAGGTCTGCCAGATCGTCAATGAAATCAAACAATGTATGTGATGGAGAGACTGTTGGGGTCCATTCTCTTCAGATGTTCTTCATACATTTTACAAACACCTTCCATGCATTTATTCACAGATTCATAGTCAGTGTAAGTTCTTCCTTCTGGCCTCTTGGTGGGCTGTACCAGCAAAATAGTGTGACATCGCACCAAACTTTACTGCAGCCCAAAAGGCAGCTTCTTGATCCAGGCAATCGGCCTGAAGAGCAGCTCATCAACCAGGCAGCAAAGCAAGATAGAAAGCTCTGCCTGCGTCGCAGCACATCCATCTTCCATCAACATGGGTGTGCCCAGTGTCTCCAGGTCCTCGGCGCACACCAGCTGGTGAGTCAGATTGTGCAGCTGAGGATCTAGGCTGTGAACTTGTGGGGGCAGAAGTGGCAAGGGAGCAGAATAGCTAAAAAGGTGTGGTGTGGACTACCAGTGTAGAGGCACAGACATCCTGGGTACTGCCCCTGCAGGCCCTGAATCTATTTAGTTCCACAGATGTACTGGAGGACAGTGTGGAGCCTGGTGAGGGCTGGTTGCCCCAAGCTGCCCAACTTCTTGTCCCTCTGAGCCGCACCTCCCAGCACTCACCTTTTCCCTTCTTTATGTTGGTGTCTTGGTTTCATTTCAAGTTCTTTATTCCTTTAATTCCCTGAGGTCTATTACTTATCTGTCTCGGTGTACTCTATTTTGTTAAAAATAATTATTTTATTTAATTTTATTCATGCATTCACTTATTTTCATTTGACCACACACACAGAGGGGAGAGAGAGAGAGACAGAGAGAGAGAGAGAGAGAGAGAGAGAGAGAGAGAAAGTGAGAAAGCAAACCATCAGGTCTGGGACTCAAACTGCAGTCGGCTATGTGGGAATATCCAGCACCTTAACCACCATGCCACCTGCTGGTCCCTTTGGTGTACTCTAAAGTATATCTTCTGAGTCCTTCTTAGTCATGTTCTTTGGTTGTGGCTATTTATACTTGAGATGATAAAAATAGTTCTCAATGTTCCTTAGGCTCAAGGGTTCAGGTTTCCAACAGATGCAACTGCTGAAATGTACCTGAACTGCTTTCAAGGCCTGGCACCCCAAAGCTCCAAGGAGGGATGAGCTCTCAGAAAGTCTGTCTAAGTCTTCCCTGTAAACCAGTGTTCCCTGCTCACTGAGAACATGTGCAAGAGGTGGAAAATTTTTTCCAACCTCAGCCACACCTCTCTCTTAAAATTTGGCCATAAATAACTAGAAGGATGTGCGCCTAATTTTCTCATTCACCGAAGTTAGGATGAGAAGGAGGAAGTAAATAAAAACCATGTTTTATGGGAGAGGGAGAGGCCCGCTAGAACAGAAGAGTGTGTGTCCCTGCTACCCCCATCATAGTTTCTTTGGAGATGGGCTCAAGATACCACCTCACCTCCTCTATGTTCTCTGACTACATCTGGAGACTGAGCCTAAAAGAGTGTTCAGACAGAGTTAAAGGTAGATGTGATGGTGGGTCCGAAAGAATCTAATTCTGAAACAGTGCTACAATTAGACTCCTCTTCTCTCCCCTCTACAAACTGCTGACACTTGCTTTGCCCTTTTCTGAGCTGTATTTTCCCTGCCTCATGCCTTCCTTGGCTTGATCCTAGAAATGTTGAGTCTTGCTGAGGTGCGGTATCTGAGGAGGGAGGATACAACCTCATTAGGTCCAGGATTTAAAGGGGCCAAAGACCAAACCTTGATGGTTGAGTGAGACTTATGGAGAATTTGGGTGTCCCATCTGGAGTGGAACCATCCAGAAGTGGGTCAGCAGTGAAGCCCCATGCTCAGAGTTCCTGGTAGCCTGAGGTGGTGCCTTTTCATCTGAGGATCTAAGAAGAGCTCCAGTCCTGTAAAAAAAACTCCATAGAAAGCTCTGAGAAGGTTCAAAGAGTAAATTGTCAAAATTATGAAGGAATTAAAAGGAACATTAGCTGTTGATGTGCTCTTGGTTGTTTTCCTACAACAAACCATACTACTTAACCTCACACTGTAGTTTCTGAATTGCATTATATTGAGTTTGCCTTGCTCCTGATCCATTTCAGGAGATGTGTAAGTTGTCTTCAAGTGATTAGAAATCATCAAAATAGCCTGACCTATATGTGTTTGTTTGTTTTAGTTTTGCTATTGCTTGAGTGTGCTCACTGGAGAGAGACAGAGAAAATGAAAAATCACACACACACATCCCCTCCAGGGAGGGTGGCCATACCACAGTCCCTTCTCTATTCTCCTCTTAGAATTTTGAGCATGCACATGCACCCAGCCTGATTTTTTTTTTTTTGAGAGATTTTTGCCATAGGGTGCATGTGCTCGCCTGAAAGACAGAGAGAGACAGAGAGACAGAGAGCAAGAAATCACCCCTCAGGGAGAGGGATTGCAGTCCCTTCTCCTCCATTCTCCTCTCGGGATCATGGGCACGCACACATATGCGCCCAGCGTGAGTTTAAGCCACAGAGTCCGGGACTCCCACTGCGGTCGACTACATGGGAATCCAGCAACATAGCCATTACACCAAATGCTGGTCCCAACCCAGCATGATTTTAAAGCCACTGGCCATGTGGAATCTAGCTGCTCCAACTCCATGCCACCTCCTGGCCCTATTTGTGTTTTAATAGAAGAACATTTAAAATGACCAAAAGTGATTTTTAAAACTTTATTTCCATGAAGAAAAAGAGAGATACTCCTAACAGGGTCTTCATGTCACAGTCCAACCCCGGTCTCGTCTGGCTTGGATCATGGATATATGCACAGGCCCATATGCTCACAGAAGCCCCAGGATGAGAACCTAGGACCTTTCCCGTGTGGATCCAGTTTCATGACTGCTGTGCTGCTTCCTGGCCTCCCAAAGCCAATTGCTTATGATGCTACCTTTGTTTTCACGGAAGAAGAAAAGAATTCTCTAAGCACAGCAAAGTTCACAGAAGTTGGCAAACAGTGAACTCTAGCAACTTAGTTACCTCTCTATTCATTCCAGAGATTAACTTAGGAATTTTTGACTGATTATTAATTGATTAAATGTCCTTTGGAAACAACCCATATATTCATAGTCACCTTAAAGTCTTACTTAAAGTAAGACCTTTGGCATTTGCTTATATGAGGAAAATATAACCTCCCAAGCTCATACTCTAGGATTTTAACTCATATACACTATTTTCCAAATGGCCCAGACACCTCTGTAGATCATTTCTTTCCTGAAATCAGGCCAGTTGGTCAGATTTAAAACTCTGAACTCGTGTGAATTTACACCCAGTTGAAAGTACGTATGTCTTAGGAATGTCTCGGTCCTTTTTGTTGTTTTTGAGTATGAAAGCTGAAGTTCAAAACTGATGCTTTCTTGATGTTAAGGACTGTCAACCTCTGTTTCATCCCTCCCTTCCCAAATGGAAGGAATTCATAACATTGTCATACATTTAATTATCTTCCCTGCTAACTATAAATAAATAGATGCCCTTGGTATTCTTCTTTAGGGTTTACCATCAAAACACAACATAGTATGGGACCAGCAGTTAGCGTAATAGCTATGTCGCTGGACTCCCATGTAATAGACCACGGTTCGAGTCCTGGACCCGGTGGCTTAAACTCACGCTGGGCGCGTGTGTGTGCGTGCCCAAGATCCCGAGAGGAGAATGGAGGAGAAGGGATTGCGGCATGGCCATACCCCCTGGGGGGTGATTTCTCGCTTTCTATCTCTCTGTCTCTCTCTCTGTCTGGCGAGCGCACGCGCCCTATAGCAAAAACCTCTCAAAAACAAACAAACAAACAAACAAACAAACAAAACAAAACAAAAAAACCCCACAACATAGTTGGTGCATTGAGGTTGCATATATTTACAAATATACAGCTTTAATTAACAAATCAGTTTTAAAGATCGTTAGATGAGGCTATTTTACTTTGGACATAGTACTTTGCAGTGCAGATAAAATATTTAAGCAAGTAAATTTTCATCTAAGGTAAAGAGCATTACTTTGTAGAAATACAGATAATTTTATCTTTTTTTTTTCATAGAAGGTGTACTGTGCCCATTAATGGTAAAGCTGTTTCTCACTATTTCCTTGTGGAGCCTAGCAGCTGTCCTAAGGAAAAAGAAAGAGAGAGATAAGAAAGCAGCAACTATCAATCTGGTGCCAGGATTTGGTCTGTGCAAAAGGAACACTAGCTGATACTAAAGCAATTGGTTGAAAAGTTAACTGGGCTTTTATTTCACTAAACTAACTCTGGTACATTTTAATTTAATATAAAATAGAAGTTGAGCATTTTTTTACCCTATTTCTCAACATTCTAGTACTTCTTAAAGGTTGAAATACAGTTCTTCTCAATTTCATGATAGTGTGTATTTAATAATCACAATTATAGGAGAATCAGAGCCTCGCGTCTTCCACGTGCCACCCTTCTCCAAACAGTTTTTTATACAAGAGCTGAGGGGAGAGATTCAAGTATAAAGGGAGACCAGAGAGATAAGAAAGAAGACTCGATGCATTATGTAAATCCCATCTTTCCAACTCCTTTGTCATACATTAGTGACTTCTCTCTAGCCTGGGCAATCCCAGCTCTTCAAGGATTTCTAGACACTCTTAGTGAGACATTTATGAAAAAATCTAAGCAGCCAGGTGTCTCCTTGATAAGCTAGGCAGTCATATTTTGCAAAGGGCTAGACCGTTTCCTTAAACACCTGACTATAGGCCACATGATTGTCCATGGCCAGGGAATTTTTCAGAGACTGCCAGAAGTATGGGTGTGCCTGTGGGTTTGTTGGCCACTCAAGGACAGCAGTCCCACAGAGCCTCTTCCGGAGCTGGAGGAACTTGGACTTCTGAAGGGGCTTCTCAAGGAATATTAAGATAATTACATCTACTTTTTCATCCATGAGCCTCTGATGGGATAAGTAAAATGCTATCTTAAAATTCTCAGTCTTCGAATACTTGTTTGTCATCACAAACACTGTCTTTTTGCTAAGCTGTATGCTTTGAGAAAGGTTTTCCAGAACTGGCTGTCCTGGTAACCAGTCCCTTTCCTCAAGACATAAATTAAAACTTTTCTCTCTTGGGTCTTCCAATTTGGCCACCAACTCATCTAAAACCCACTCTGTCACAGCTGGGTCTTCAGTGTCATATACAATAAAAGCATCATAGCAACAGTTTTGCGACATCAGACGCTGATATCCCTTTATCTTGGCCTTACAAAAATGGTAGCTATACCATACATCCCAGAAATAGAGGTGACTTGTTGTCATAACCACCATCAGAAACAGAGCCACAGATACAGAAAGTGAGAACAGAATCAGATTAGTCAGATCTAATTCACAGGTATACATATCTAGAGAGACCACGCTCTGGCCTTTGTGTGCTCCTGGCCCCACACAAGTTACCTCTGTGGCCAGGTAAGGAATTGTCACTTCCGTATGGTTAACCCACCAGACAAACCACACAGCATCACAGGTACACAGAAAGCGATTATGATGTAAAAGCAGCTTCTCCAGATTGTTGAGGACATTTTCTGGGAAGCTAGTCTTTTGGATAATCTGAATTTTATTTGAACTGAGGTCCAAATAGCGTAACTGGAAAGCATCTTGTAGAAAATACTTTGTCAGATGCCTGATTTGATTTTTCCTGAGAATCAGTCTCTTTAGGCTTCTGGAACAGTTGGATAGTCTCTCAGGAACAGTTGTCAGTTGGTTGTGACTCAGGTCCAAAGTTTCTAGATTCTTCAGCTCCTGGAGCTTTCCCCAGTTGAAAGATTTTAATGCATTTTTGGCCAAGGAGAGATTCTTTAGTTGTGGAGGCATACCATTAAAAACTCCAGGAGGCAAGAAGCTCAGGGAATTTTCAGAGATGTCTAATTCCTCTAAGTTTTGCAGCTCCCTAAAGAATTGTAAGTATCTGTTATCTCCATCTCGCCATAAAATATCCAAGTGATTTCCTCTGAATTCCAGAGTTCTAAGAGATTTGCTCTCCATGTTTCTGCTGACTGAAGTAGAGATGTCATTGTGGTTCATCATTAGTTTCTTCAGAAACTTTAGGTTCTTGGTAAAGTTTAACATGTGAGTAATTCCTTCTGATTGAAAATAATGGCTGTTGCTACTTATATCCAGAATTTCCAGGTTGTGAAGCTCCTCAAATGCAGTTGAGTAGAGTAAGTCAAGCCGGTTGTTAGAGAAATCCAAATATTTCAGCTCTACTAATGGTTGAAATTCACTGCCATTAAGTGTTTGGCCAATAGAATTTCCTGACAAGTTCAGGCACTTGAGAAAAGAAAGATTCTGAAAATCAGAGGGCTTGATAAAAAATATATTATTTTTACTTAGATCTAAAGTCTGCCCATACTCATAGCACTCTTCATTAAAAGGCAGTAAAGAAGGCATCTCTTTGTCTTTGGATCTGCAACTCCTTGCATACTCATCATATCGGAAATAATGTAATGCTTCAAAGAACTGTGGTCCACGACTTTCTACAGGAGTTCTAGTGTTAGAGCAGAAGCCAGCTTCACTTGAATCTCCAGAAGGTGATATTTTATTCACTGAAAGATCTATGACTTTTAACCTTTCAAATTGTTTAAACATACTGAGGTCAGCAATTTTTATAAAGTTAGTGCCAAGATCAAGAACTTCAAGATTAAGAAGATCACGTAATGGGGACAGGTTAAGACTTTTCAGCTCTTTAAAAACATATCCTTTGAGCCTCAAAATTTTCAGGTTTTTCAGTGAAGAAAAGGTACATGATAGGTTTATGAATGCACGATAGACTTGAAGTTCATAATTGAAAGACAGATCCAACTGGACAAGGTTCGGAAGATATTTCAAAAATTCAGCATCCCCAATTTCTTTGGCCAAGAAGTTTTGGGAAAGATCTAGCTCCTGAAGGTTTCTAATGTTTTTAAACCATTCTTTGGGCACATGCTGAAGAGAGTTACTGTGTAGATGTAAAACTTTTAATTTTTCCAATGAATCGAAAGCATGCTCATCAATCTGTAATGGAGAATTATTTTCACAGGGTGTACAAGGAAATGGGACATTATAACAACGAGGGCAGTTTCCACTTAGGTCAAGAATTTGCAATTGGTTGAGGTTTTTAAAATCATCTCTTTGGATTTTTGCAATGATGTTGTTGTGAAGATAGAGTTCTGTTAAAGTAGATGGCAAAACAGTGGGGACATCTGTGACGTTGTTATCTTTGAGAGAAAGCACTTTTAAATTTTTCAGGCTTATAAAGGCATTTTTTTCAATTAAAAATGAAACATTACAAGGGTTGCGATAATAACAGTTTTGACCCAGGTAGAGTATTTCTATATTGGTCAGTTCTGTTAGATTCTCTTTCATGATGGAAAAGATGTTGTTGGCCTCAAGGCTCAGAAGCCGTAAATTGGGAGGAAGATCTTTAGGTATCTCTACAAGCTGGTTTCCATCCAGGTAAAGGGATCTTAAATTACTGAGTTTACTAAAACTTTTGGGTTTAATCTGTAGCCTCCTGGTACATACATTATTTTTTGGCCCCAGTCGAATAGGCACACAGTTGCATCTGAAATCTATCTCTACGAGACGGTCCAGCCTTTGGAAGGAGGCTGGAGAAATATCTGGTATGTGGTTAATGGTAAGGGTGAGGTTGGTGGTGTTGGTGGGAATACCTTCAGGAATTTCTTTCAGATGCTTGTCGGTGCAGTCCACAGACACATGGGTCATTGGTTCATCCAGAGTAACATCACAGGGCAGGGTTTTAGGAAACCATCTAGCCCCAAGGAATTTTGAAATTAAGATTATGTTAAAAAGAATAAGAAATAGTCTCTTCAGTATCCACACTGGAAAGACCTGAAAGTATAAGAACAAATTATTATTTTAAAATATAATGAGAATCAGAATATAAAGTGCCCATTCACTGCCTCTGTTTTGCTACATTTTTAAAATAAACAATTCTTGTGCTCAACTGTATAAACAGCATCCCACACCCAATGTATGCATTTGTCAATTATTGAAGTTTGCGATAATTTAGCTACATATTTAGCTTTTTAGCAAAAGTAGTTTTTTGTCTTGTTTTGTTTTTGAGAGGCTTTTTGCTATAGGACGTGTGCGCTCGCCACAAAGACGGAGAGAGACAGAGAGATAGAAAGCAGGAAATCACCCCCAGGGGACATGGCCACGCCGCAATCCCTTCTCCTCCATTCTCCTCTTGGGATCTTGGGCATGCATGCACATGCGCCCGGCGTGAGTTTAAGCCACTGGGTCTGGCAAACCGCGGTCGGCTACATGGGAGTCCAGCAATATAGCCATTACGCTAACTGCTGGTCCCAGCAAAAGTAGTTTTTAAAGTGGTAGAAGAACCATTTTCTTAATCATCATTACATTGAAATTTACAATGAAAGAGCATTGATTAGCTGCCAAAGTCTGAAATTTTGGGGTGAAGGAACATTAAATTGCAGATCCACCTGAACAGAACAATACATAAGACTTCTGGGAACAGCAGATAGTGTAGTGGCGACATTGTTGAACTCCCACATGGCTGACGGTGGTTTGAGTACTGTACCTGATAGCTTGAAACTCAACCTGAGCACATGTGCGTGCATTCCCAAGATCCCAAGAGGAGAATGAAGGAGAAGGGATTACAACGTGGATATCCCCCCTGGGAGGTGATTTCTCACTTTCCCTCTCACTGCCCCCACCCCCACCCAAGTCCATGTGCCCTAAGGCAAAAACCTCTAAAAAAAACTTTAGTACTATTCATGTTTCCTTGCTACACCTGCCCTGGAATATACTGTAAAGGTCTTGCATAATATTTACACC